GCCTTTCCCACGAAGCATTCTACTCTTTCGCCCAGAGCAGCACCGCTGAAAACAGGAGAGCGAGTCGGTTGTACCCTAAGCCCTCCCTTTTGGGACTTAGGATTAGGGTTTGACTCCTCTCCCCAACTAGGGTTAGGTCATGCAGTGCTTGTTGGGAGAACATTGAAAAACATTAAATTTGACGAAATTTGCTAACATCACATGAACACACGAAAGGCACCAAACACAACAAGTCCCTTTGCAAAATTCATAAAGGTCATACTGCTAATGCGCAGAAGATGTTGAGAGCGGGAAGAAGAAAAAGCATCAACCTGCTCTGTGATTTACTGCCAAGAATTCGCATGTTATTCTGGGCTACTGCCGTCGTGCACACGCCAATGGCCGTTCGTAGGTGTTTCGTCGGTGATGGTCTCCCAAGTGTCAAAGAGCGTGTCCATGGTTTTGGCGGTCAGCTTCTTTCTACGTCAGCAGATCAGTGAGCGTTTTTTTAACATGTCGGTGTAAGAAAGAATGTGAGGCAACTTGCATCTGTCCATAGGCGGCTGTAATGCCGCTTGGAGGTTTATCTTGCGGTTTGGTGTGCTGCGGGAATTTGAATCTGGAGTTATGGAATGAGAACTGATGGCTAGCGCTCCAATTCTTGGGCTTTCTTTGAACATAAAAGCACTCAGGCGCAGAGCAACGGACAGCACTAAGCAGAGTTTCAACATGAATTGCGCTTACCTTGCCGCGCCTATCTAAAGCAGCCTTTTCAGGGAGGGGTGGGCCCTTCTGGCCATGAGCCCGTCAAGATCGTCAGAGACACAATTGCATTTTGGCACATTTGGGGCAACGAGATGGCAAACCATGCTCATGAGCGGTGCTTGAGTTCTTTGGTAAGGGCAGACCTTGCCTTGTGAAGTGTGTTGCAATCAAGCGGGGTCGAGAAGTTGATCGAAGAGCACAAGAGCCATCCTGCGTTTAGCGGTCCAACAGCAGTTGGATTGAATGGATCGCACGTTTAGGATGTTGTGTCAACACACTGAGGCCGTAGTCGAGTAGGTTGACAGCCTCCAGCGTGTGGATAAGTTGGGACGGCGAGATTACCAATGTACATGCTCGGGTGGACTGGATGTACGGGCTGACGAGTTGGAGGAGCTCATCGCGGGCAAGACAAAACCTCCATCACCTACACCGTGACACACGCACACATCACAAGGATCACTGCAGAACAAGCAGGACGTTTTCTCCTATGTTTGGAGGTCACGTGATTTCAGCAGTCGACATGAGATGTGAGCCCATAATGCAGTTGTAGGCGTCATTACGTCGCAGGTGAAGTTTCGGACATGAGTGACAAATGTAGGTGCTTGGCGTGCAACACTATGTTTGGTGGGTATCGTGAGCATTGTGACTCGGGGATGCGGCTGACGGGCCCTACATCACAATCATTGCAGGTGCCATCAGCATCAGTCAGAAGGCAGACTGCCGCCCTAATCATGATGTACGGAAGCAAGCAAGAGGAACAACGTCGGAGCTGGTTTGAACAGGTCATCTGCAGTGCATGCGATTCTGTCGTGCGCACTGTTCCTCATGCAAAAGTTTTGGTATGTCTTTGCTTTTTCATGCGAGATGTTCTCATGGTCGTTTCAGTTGGTGCGCAGCTTTTGATTTGCTACTTCGCAAGGAAATGGACGCCGGAATGACGTACCTGCTACTGTTTGAAAGCGACATGTGTTTCGCTGGTGTAGAAAAGCTCATGACATGAGGGCATACGCAGACATGCACTGTGACATGCACCTTGAAAAACGATTTTATGCCGTCTTCCCCATCAAGCTTGCATCAAGCTTGGGTCTCACCTCGCACCGAGCAGTCTTGTTCTTCAAAGTTGCTTCAGAAAATGTGTTGAACAAATGTGCTGAACAGCTGAACAAAGCCTGAAACTGGATTTGCAAGTGGGGCTTTCAAAGTTGTAGTTGGTGTTCAGGTATAAGTCGGCAAGTAGCTGCCATGTGTCTTGCGTTTTCTCAGGCCATCCCCATGAAATTGGTTGAGGTTTCAGGTTTGGCAGGGTGCTGTTGAGAAAAGCCACGTGAAGCACGTCCCGGCAGATGATGGATGGCTAGTGTAGACATGCTGTTGAGTCTTTTGAAAGACCGATGTCACGATGTGCTCTTGCTATTTTTCTTTGTGAATGCGCATGAGGTTGCGGGACCTGTAGTCCGATTGGCAAGTAGCCTGATTCGGATTGGGAGTAGCTTGTCATGCTTGTTTGTTTTCCTGGGGGCCGGGGGGAATGCTTGCATTGCTGCACAGCTTGTTGGTCTGTCAGCCGTGTTGGCCCAGTTAATGGAAGATGCTGCCACAGCGCTGAGGAGCGCCATCCACTCGAGCATTTGTGATGGCGTATGGCAACCAAGCATTTCCGCAGGCGGACGTCGATATGGAGGGTATCCGGCCGTTTGATGGCAGCCCGCTCCCAGGAGTTCTGAAAATGCTTTGCCCAACTCTTGTTTAACTGTTTTTCAGAACTTTGGCGAGGCCCTGTCAGCTCATTCTGGGAGGTGCAGGCCGCTGCTTCGCTCAAGAGAGAATTTCAGAATGCTTTGCTCAAGACGTGATAAGCGTGGTAATGCGTGGTACAGCAACGAGGAGGGCGCATCCAGTCCTCTCGTTATAGATGCATGGAGGCATCGCCAGGCAAAGGGAGGGTTGGGAGCAGAGTGCCAAGCAGAGGGCAGCAAAGTAAAGAGCAAAAGTAAAGAGCAAAGCAAAGGCTAATTATGGGTTTCCTTGGTTTCCATGACCACTTGTGAAGGTGGATGCCAGATCTCCAGTCTCCTCTGGCACGCCGCACAGATGCCAATCAATGACCAATCCATACCAATCCTCTGGAAACATATGCCTCGGTGACTGGACTAGACCTCACAAGTGAGCTGAGGCATAGGCCAACGAAGCTTGGGAATGCTTGATGCGACATTGTCCTCGATTCGAGAGGACTTGTGGATGGATTTATCAAGAGGCTACTTACCACCATTTAGTACAACTTGAATCGCCTCTGTTTGTGAGGATGTGAGGACTGCGAATGTGTTTGCAGAGCCCTTAAAACACAAACACACAGAGCACAAAGGAAGAACTGACATTGGTGCACATGCGGTTGTAAGACGTTGTAGGCGTGAGTCAGCATGAGGTCGGCACCCTGGGTTCAGGACCGGAGATTGCTTTGAGTGATGCCTTAACAGTCTCAGATGCTTGGGTGCGACTTCTTATTGGATAGCCGCTTCTCAGGTACGGTTGGTGAGACGTATTTTGCAAGTGTCAAAGTCAATGAATCGGTTGCTGGAAACGAGCGATTTTGTGCGACTCTGAGATGGTAGGCCCATGTAAGCCCCGGCAACCTGCCACAGTGCCCCTGAGTACTTGCAGTTGCTGTTTTGCTGCTGAGCCCTCGAGCATGCCGAGTTGTTTTCCTGGGAGCCCAAAACCTCCAGAGCCGCTCCAGGCGTCGAATCCCATCAGTTCCATGCCTTGCCACGGTTAGCCTCAAGCGCTGGGAGGTTTGGGCCCAATCGCCCATGGGCCCACTGAAGGACCCAAACCTCCAAGCGTTAGCAACCCGTTCGCTCTAGAGACGGTTATCGTTTGGGTGTAATGCTGGATGGTTGAGGTCAACCAAGACATGAAGAAAAGGTACAGCAATGTGCACGCTGGGCATCCGTTTACCTGAGATCTCCGGGGACTCACCCTGACTTGGCATTCCGCGGGGCTTTAGGCAAGCGTCAAGATCAAACGGTGACTTCGCCGTCTGCTGTACTGATTCTGATTGCCTGGGCGGTTGTTGTTACAGGGTTTCCGTTGCGTCATTTCCCACCTTCTCTTCCATCATGCACCTGCTTAGCTGTTCTCAGCGGTCAGTCTTTCTTTTTGGATATTTGGCTGAGGCCTCGAAGTAGAACATGCGAGGGCAGATCAGTGGCTGCCGCAGGAGACCCACGTGCTGGAGATCTGTTAGCAGTGCCGACCTCAATCAATTAATCTGCTTTGTCCCCAACAGCCGTATTCGCCATTCCCTGCGTACAAGCGGGTAGGTTAAGTCGTATCTTCTTGTGTAAAGTCGTATCTCGGGCGCGTGCACACTGGGGATTTGAAACTTCCAAGATTGGTCAGAACCCACATGCACCCCCAAGCAGAAATCTCATTCACGCTGACAAGAATGTGCTCCCCTTCCAGGCGTGCGGTGACAAGTGCGTATTTTGCACGCGTGTCGAGAACATGCGCGTGGGGCGCGTGCACATTGGGGGAATGGCTTCAACATATGTCTCTGTGATGCGACTTTACGCGGGGTGATGTGACTTCGCTCGCAGCCGCGTGTCACAGGGCAGATGTGACTTCACACGCAAAGATGTGACTTCACCTACCCGCTTGTAGCTTGAATGAAGCCATGATGATCTAGTTACGCTCTTGTTTCTGCACTTCAGGGTTCGTCATGTTCTAGGCCCTAGGCATGCTGCATGTAACCTTTAGCATATTTGAGCATCTTTCCCAACAGCAAAGAGGGTATGCCAAGCATGCCCGAGCCACGAGTACGTGTTCTGATTGTTCTGAGAGCAGGACAGTGAGCGGATTTGATTGCAGCTGACGTCAGACTTCAACCCGTTGGCCAAGGAGCCGCTCAGCCGGCGGCTTGACCTCATCAAGGTGCAGAGCTTGAGGGAGTGAAAAGAGTGAAAGCCTGTTAGCTTTCGCTGATCTGGCAGGCAGCTTTTCGCCGCTTGGACGTCAACGGTCATGGATGGGTCACGGTCCAGGCCATGGTTTATGGTTCTAGGATGTTCTAGGTTCTTTGCTTGTGTAGGTCAGTTTGTGAACCCCCTTTTGAATGCTTTTGACATGCGGGTACAGTTGCATGCCACGAGCAGCATGTACCTATGTGACCCTTCGGTTCTTCGATTCTTCTCCGTGTTTCTCCGTGTACCCCCGCACTCAAGCAGGACATGGTGGCAGGGCTGCAGAGGTTCAGCAACATGGCCCAGAACGAGCGGCAGCGCGTCCGGGACTTATCCCAAGCACCGATCGAAAGTGGTGACCTTGTGTCTCCCAAGGTGCTCTTCGGCTTGTGCGGTCAAGGCCAGCTCTCGTGGCGGAAAGACTTGGCCCCCTGTCCTCTTGTGACAGGCTTGGACCCCAACACCCGCGTGTCCATCGCAACTTTCATTGGGTGCGCCGCACACGCACATGCATGTCGATGCAGTCAGCTGTCCGACAGACAGGTACTACCAGATGTTGGGGGCCTCCATCGAGCGTGATCGAGACTTCGAGGATTTGCTGCGGCATCATTGGGGCTTTGCCGAGGCCGGAAGTGCCCTTCCGCTGTGCCCTTCCACTGTTTGGGCTTATATCACCATATCACCATATATCACCCTCCTGTCCTTGTGCACCCTGCTAGGTCCCGCAGCTTTTGGACGACATGCGTGGCAAGTTCGCGATGGTGAGTGCCTTATGCGTCGCATGGAGGGGTCGCTGTCAGCAATGCTGCGAGGTCGGGCTGGCATACGCTTTTCGGAAGCACCTGGAGTAAGGGCCTCACCATATTCCAACAACAAGTTCATTTCCTGTGAGCCCGTGGATGCTCAGGACTGGCGAAGCGGAATTGTCGATGGAAGCCTTACAGCAGGCCGGCGGCCCCAGCTCTCTTTTTTGCTTGATGCCGTTGATGCCGTTACCAATCGAGGCCTTATGCCAAGTGGGTCAGATTCCCAGCGTGCTGGTGCAATGACACTGGGTTGTCAAATCCACATGAGCGAGGTATGCAGTACAGCTCTGCTGACCTGCTGCGCGTCTTCGAGAGCTTGGGAAGTGGCACTCCGCCATCATTGCAGGCCGCGTCTGAAGTCAGAAGCCGTCAGGAGGCGTTTTGCAACAGTAGAAAGTTGGTTGCTCTGAGGGATTCTGAGGGATATCAATTCTGCTTCGGAGCTTGGACCAGTTCTTTTATGGGAGCTGCATAACTGCATAGGCATATTATTTTACGCAGACATGACTTTGCACCTCTGGCACCTCTGGATACCTCTTGTCACACCTGCAGCTTTTGAAGATGCAATTGGCAGACCGGCCAGCTGGTGGGGGGCTAACCCATTGTGCTAGACTGCCCGGGTTTTGGAAAACATCACCCGGTCATCTGTCCTCATGATGGCGCGTGTTCTGCCCAGCGGGCACATCAACTGCCCAAAGGCTGATGCAAAAAAAACACATCACGATGGTATTCTGATTGAATAAACGTGTAAAGCCAGGTCTTTCGGCTCGTGGAAGAGGTCATGCGTGCTTTCCTGAGCCTGTTCTGTGATCTGAGAGACACTTCCTTGGTGAATTCCGCAGTCGCGGCTTGAAAGCAGAGGTGCATCGCAGTCAGTTGCACCTCAGACTGCCACTGCCGTCACTGCCTTGTATTCGATAATCTCGCTCGGCCATCATCAAGCTCTGCCGCTGCCAGGCCAAGCTGAACACAGGCGGAGGACGCGTTCTCAGTACTCCAAGCAGTTGCGAAGAACCCAGTCTGAACCTTTCGGAGTCAGGGCGAATGGCGGCCGGTGCAGCCCAGGCGCCGTGCAAATGGTCGAGGAGTCTTGCTTGCAGTGGTGCTGGTGACAGGTCAGCAAGCTCTCGGCGAACTTGCCACCTCCCACAGAAGCACCGGCAGAGGGCGGCAAGGCGGTCCGAAGTCTCGGCATTTGTGCACAGATGTTTTTCCTAGCAGCCTGCGGTAGTGCGCTAAGCAGCAAAACTTGCAAGATCTGCAAGATGATGATTGATGCACTGTCTTTTTCATAGATGGAACTCGCGAATGAAAGGTGCCAAAGGTCGAATGACCGAATAAACCTTGAATGGAGTGGTAGTGGGACTATTCGCCGGGCATCTTCGGAATGCCACGAAGGATGTTTGCACGCACCACCTTGGGGTGCTTTTTTACAGGTGTCGACGTGGTAGTGGTCGTGTCGTGCGTGAAGGCAGCTTTCGATCGCGTTCGGGGCCAGGGCAGGGTGATGCTGGGTGCAACTCGACAGCGTCGCAAGATGTGGATTGGAGATGGACGGGTGGCGAGCAACAGCCCATCTTGTGGCAGCTTGTTTCAAGATGCAAACAATTTTCTTGCTTCCACTCGATGGGTATCGCTGGGTGATCTTGCAACGCTTCCTTTTGCTTTGTGACCCATGACGTTTGTATGTGCCCTGCGGGACAGAGAGGCACTGACGGTCGCTTGCCTTTGTGGCAGGCTGATAACGACCCAAGTACATAGCTACTCCAGCGCGTGCAAATCCTCGTGGCAGCTTGATTGTCTCCGGTTGTGCCGTTGAATCAACTCTGGGGTGACAGATGCTGGCTGCCACCGAGTACAGCACACCTCTGCCAGAAGCCCCAGCAGAGGACAGGACACGCATTTGGCTGAAACTTCAACTCACCACCTTTGCAACGTGTCAGGACACGCACGGTCTGCGCAGATCCTAAAGCCAGTGCAATGCGGTTTTGAGGTATGTTGAAGCTTTTGCTGGTGCGCCTCACTCGCTGCCACTTTTTGAAACTTTTAGTTGTTCAGGCTTGAAGAGATGCAAGCTCCGCCGGAACGAGATGTGCTGCCTTAAGCATTTGGCTGTTGCATGCAGGCCTTGTGTCGCACTCCTGCAGTCATCCGTGAACTGTATAAGGAGTTTGGCAAGTTGCCTCTTGAGGACACGACGGAGGCTCGCGACCTGTTTAGATCCGTAGCACGTATACAACCATAGAACCTATCGCGGTTCGAATGCCTCAGAGCGGACATCGGCAAGACACCTTGTCTGCATAAATATGACCTCGGTTTATGGATGGACTTGAGCCTTCTAAGATGCCGTGCTCCACGGCTCACCGTGTACTGGCAACCTGGAAAGTCTGCAAGCTACCTGATTGGTCTATCGTAGAAACCATGAGGGTGTGGTAATCCGGGTGCTTCATTCTCCACAGCAATGGTTACATTCCGAATTCTCCATGTCCTCAAAACCGAAGCTACACTCCATATCTATGCAGGGCTATGTGAAGTCGCGCTTTCAAGGGCTTGTGTGTCAGAACATCAGGACAAGCAAGATGCGTGATCCCCTCTTGACAAGAGGTCCTTAGCTGAATCGTGTGGTTGGGGTCGTCAACTTGGTAAGAAAAAGTCGGATTCGTCTCGCAGCTGAACATCCGCAGCCGAACCCACAAGAATATGAGGCTTACCAGAGCGAGCACGGCCTGGGGAACGCTGCGCGCATAGGTAAAGGCGAGATGTAATCACATTAGTTCGATCGCTCAAGTCATGACAAACTGCAAGATCCTAGGTGAAACAGTTTCGGACTCTTGGACCTGCAGCATGCAATTCAATTCTTTGCATCCCCTGTCTCACTCTAAGCTTGTCTTGTCTACTTGTTGCCAATGCTTGCCTCCGTTCCCAAACCGGAGCGGGATGGTGGTTTCGCTTCATCATGTTATTGTATCTCTTGGAACCTTATTCATCATGTTTTTGTATTTCTTGCAACCTTACGCACCTCAATCCAAAATCCTGGGAATGGAGACAAAAGGATACAAGCAATTGACAGAAGCGAGGGACAGAAGACTCAGAAGACCCCAGCAATGCTCTCCCGCAGAAAGAAGGACAAGGGGAACCAAAGGGGCAGTTTTCCTTCATGCTGACGAGCCCGGAGCTGGGGCCTTATCCAACCACTATTTCTTACACTTTCACTTTTGTGGGTGTCGAGGCTGGTGTATTTCAAGTCCTTGCACTGCAAATTTCACGAGATGCTCATTGGCAAGAAAATGCCATCGTTTGGGAACCACCATGTGGCCTTTGACTTTGTTCTGCCTTGCTGTAATTTGGTCAAGCTGCATGGTGCAAACCATGAGAAGCATGTAATTGTGACTGCTGCCAAAGCATCTTTCCCATCATATCCGTGATCAGCTGTTCGCGATTGAACTTTGGAACCGACAGATGAGGCAAGTTGCCACGCTGGGACATTGAATGTGTTCAATGTGTTCAGGCCCCCCCTGAGGAGGACGAGGGCATGCTGGCTCCGGAGGTTGCGGGATCACAAATTTTCCTGAATGCTCAGGTCAGTTTGCCGTTCTGCCGGCTTCGTGCTTCGGCAATCCTGCTGCGTTAGGAGACAGATGGCGATCAATTGGATGAAGTTCCGGAGGCAGCTTGGGGTGCTGGTTTGATGCCGTGTTTCACGATGGGGACAACAGCACGACTCCTCGAGGCACCGAGGGAAATGCAGAGCCAGTATTATCAGAGCCACTACGGCCACCACACCAACCACACCTCTCAGCACCTGGACCGAAAACAGGGCTTCTATCTCGCAAGGGTATTGATGATGCACAAAGATTTGTGGGGGTGGGCTTTGACCGTCCATGGCAACAAGGCCACACGGGTACGGTCTTGCGGCACAGATGAGCTTTCACGGTGCAGGCCGGGCATTTTTTGCAGGTTCGTTGTCAGATGAATTGATCTCAAGGGCAGATGTCAAGGCCCCTAAGCTCTTGCTGCATGTCACCTTCGTTACCTGCGGAAGGTGCCTATGGCAGCTACGGCATGTACAGCGCAGACGGGCCACTGAGCAGTACAACAATCACTTTGACTTTGCACCTACCCCCCCGGCTGGGAATGTAAATTATTTAAGTTGTTTAATTCGCCCCCCGAGTTAAACAATCTAACTTTTTTTGGTAAGTAAATTTTGTCTAATTTACATCCTGGTGGGGGGGGTCCAGGCCCCCAGCCTCGGCCCGATTTGGGAAAATTTGCATAGCTTAAATTTCTGGTACCTCCCGGGACTTTAAATTGTTTATTTAAAGTATTTAATTCACATTCGCCGAGGGGGGGGGTGGGAATTAAATAATTCAAGATTTTTAAATTTCCGGCCAACAGCAGGAATTTGAATTTATTTAATAAGTGAAAAAGTAATAATGAAATCCTGGGGGGATCCCGGGTCCCCGGCCCGGCCCCATTTACCTCTTTAAAATAAGAAAATTTCTAGCTTAAATTGTTTGATTCCGGGGGGGGGGGGGGTGGGCTGGGGGCCCCGGACTCCCCCCCCCCCCCCAGGATTTAAACTCTTTAAATTATTCCACTTAGGAAAGTTGTTTCTTTCGGGAGGGAAGAATTCCATAGTCTAAATATGTAGTTTAAATTTCCGGCCCTGCAGGGCATTTAAACAATTTATACATTATTCTCACTCCGAATCAAGCGAGTACTTCACATCATTCAAATAAGATAATTATCGTGAATTATTTTCAATATGTTAAAAGATCCTGGGGGGGGGTTGGGGCCGGACCCTTCCAAGATTTGAATTATTAAAATAAGCAAATTATTTAGGTACTTGAATGATTTCAATCGGGTGCCCCAGGAACTCTAATTCTCCCCCCCCCTCCCCCCCCCCCAATTAAGTATTTAACCGCTAACGCGCGAGGGCGCCTCCGGGTACGAAGCTCAAGGCGTTGTTCCAAGAACAAGGTGACGCGGTGCTTGCGATTTGGTTTTTGGGAAGGGGTTTGTTCTAAGATTGTGGGACACGGTCACGGCGCTTGCGAGTTGCTCTTTGGGAGGGGATTACTTCAAAAACTCTAGGGGACAATGTGCTTGCGATTTCCTATTTGGGAAGGGAAACAATCCAATCCAAGAGACCTCTTGTATTCACGAGGAGGGTTCTAGGCACTTGTCTTTCTCCCCGCCTCTCTAACTCTCTGTCCTTCCTTTCTTTTCCCTTCTTCGTTCGCCTTTGGAGTGGGAAAGCGGAATGAGGTTAAGGCGGTCTCACTTCAAGGTTTCGCCATGTTTCGCCCAGATGAAAACCCGAATGCCAGCTTCCAAATAAGCCCTATTTAAGCAACCCCCGCCCCCGTTTACGCCGCTCTGCCGCATTCGCATGTCGCTCCCAGGTTCCAGCAGCTCTACCAGCCGTACAGTCCAGGTTATGCATATCAAATGGGAGGCCCAGTGAGCCGCCTGCCTTGTGTGAGTGATTAGAGTCCCCTTCAGGCCCCATGGCCGTGCCAATGGTGCCTCACCATCAACATCCTCACCACCCTCAGCATCCTCACTATCAACCTGCTCAGATCTCAACCGGTGCATCATCGTTCGTCCAGGAGCTTTTGCAATTTCCAAACCAGATGCGACGAGTCTACCCATGGTAGATGTTTTGCGCTAGAGCTGCTAGAGTTCGCTTGACAGCAGTTGTACAAGCGCCACGCGTTGCTGCTTGTTCTGTGCAGGCAGCTTCCTCGGAGTGCAAGCCGATGAAGCCAGAGCCGCCAGCCGAAATACAGGCAACTGGGCAGAGGCCGGTCAAACTGAAATCAACTGTCTTGTCATCAGACGGTGCTTCTTGAGTTTAAAGTGAAAGTGGGGACGCGCCACATCCATCATGGAGGCAGTGTCCCCCTCAAAAAAGTTAGTAGAAAATGAGTCTAATAATGTGTTCACGGGGGCTAAGAATAAAGTCATAGAGGGCCCCCATATTAACAGTACTAAATCTGTGTACTTGGCAAAAGACCTTCATGTCTCAATATGGCCTTACAGTATATTCATGCGTTAACTTGTAATATAGTCTGCCCGTAGTAAAATATAAGAAGTCTGTTGGGGGTTGTCGTTCATAGAATGAATACGTTTCATGCATTCGTAAACTATAAACATAGGAATGTTATGCTTTCACTGGTGTTCATTTGCACTTCATTCATATTATTCCTGGTCATCCAAAAGACGCTGGTTAACCTTTGTTACTCAGCCACAGCAGTCCTAGCCTTGTGGCACAGACTTGTACTGGAACGCGCCAAATCCAAATGCACTGAAGAGTCGGCGGAGGGGTGTTCGCCTGTGTGCTTAGAAACATCTGCCATGTTGACCGACTGACAGGCGAGCGGTCACTGTGGGAGTGAACTACCTCGGCACCGAGGCGCGATGTTTCGGTGAAGGTAAAGACCGTGGGAGTCCAGAGTCCAAACTGCCTTGACCTCATCTTGACCTCTGGACTGCTTACTTAGAACGAGCTTCGTGGCTGCATCAACGACTCCGACACGTTCATTACGCTGCTCACGGAGGCGCCTTCAAGACAATTTTGCTGGAACTGTCTGAACCGCCTGGCCCAGAATCTGAGAGGACTTTGGCTTCAGTGTCTCGGACATTCGGCAACTCCGAGATGACCACCCGCCACATCCCCAGCACAGAGCTTCGGGAGAACGAAGACGCGAGCAATGTCGTGTAGAAACCGCTGTAAAGCAAGCCCGTGCTTGCATCCCAACCCTCTGCAGCATGTCATACTTTGAGAGTTTCAAAGTGGGTACGAATTGAACTGCATGTAGCTCGTTCGGGAAATAGGACCGAGGGAAGAGGCGTGCTTTCAGCGGAGCATGCTTTGAACATAGCCTGCAAGGCAGCGAATGCCAACAAGAAGGCTCCATGCTGCATGCTCAGGACTTCTAGCAGGATGCAGTGAGTCCCCTCAGGAACATCTCAGCTGCTTTGCAGTGGCTGGTCAAAGGTGCTGGACCAGGACGCCCCCGATCGCAGCCAGACACGCTGTGACACACTGCCGAGCTTTTCCACTCACAGGAGACCATCTCTTGTTCCACTACAGTGGTCATGGTTCCCAGAAGCGTGACATGAGCGGGGAAGAAGCCGACGGGAAAGCCTCGCACTTAGTTCATCGTCGTGGCCATCGTGCTCTTAGCCGTCGTTCTCGTAGCCGTCGTGCTCGTAGCCTTCGTGCTCGTAGCTGTCGTTTGCAGCCACCATGGTCCCAAGTGTCGAGGATGAGACCATCGTGCCCTGTGACTTCAACAAGTCTGGCATGATCACGGATGACGAGCTGAGGAGTTTTGCTTAGCACTGCAAAATCTGTTCTACTTGTTCCGGCTTGTCCTCGTTGCGAGTAACGATGCCCAGCCCACTAAATCTGCAAAGACCCCGGCACCAATTCCACAGCGTGCCTTGCAAACTGGAGGCCTCACCAAAGAACAGTGGTTGTTGCTGGTTTGCAGTCCCAAATAGAAAATTCTTGGCGCGCGTACGCCGCCAAAGAGAGCTAAAGCTGAAAAGAACCACGGAATGCACCGCAGATGGCCTGCCAGCTTCACAAAGCTTCGCACACGATGTGGAATGCAGGAGAATGCTCGTTGACGGGCTTCCAAAAGGTTGCCGCTTAACCGTGATCATGGACTGCTGCCACTCGGCCGGACATGACGTCAAGACCCGCACCACCACCCCAGGCATCCGCACGCTGCACAGGTCATAGTGGAACAGGGATGGACCTCAGCTACAAGGCAAATGCCGCTTTTGAAGAAGCACGGCAGTGAAGCACAGCTTGTTGACAGGCAAAGGTTTTGCATGATGGCTCCTTGATGATCGACGCCCTCCCCAGCAAGTCTTGGTGCTAGTGCCCTCTCTTTGCAGATGCGCCTTGCTCGGGCCTGGCACCGAGGCGCCGGAGGCACCCCTCAGAGGCGGAGGTGGTCCTCCTTTCAGGACATGGCTGGACCATCAGCAACCTGATGAGCGTGAGCTGCGTGAGCTGCATGTGGAGGCTGCAAAGACTTCCAGACCAGCTCCGATATCTCGGGGGGCATTGCAGGGAATCGTGCTGCAGGCGCGCAGCTTGCTGTATGTGAATGAAGGCTCCTGCACGAGATCAAGTTTGCCTCGAGGTGCAATGACCACGGCTTTCAGAAAGATAATCTCGAAGAAGAAAAGCATCTCGCAGCAAGCTCGGTGCAGCCTTTCTCGGCAACTCCAGTTTCCAGACTTCAAGACATGAGGTATCACCACCTCCTGCTCGAAATGCGCAACTTTCTCAAGCAGCAAGGTTTTGACCAGGTGCCTTTGTAATTTTACGATCGAGTGATGGCTGAGCAGGCGTTCATTCAGGGGTGATAAGCTGCCCGCCTCCCTTACCCTACAGTTGCACGGAAGATGTTGAAGAAGGCAGGATAATTCATCGTGTGTAGCAGATCTTTTCTGCCCGATTCGATCGACGTGTTGCTAGTAAACAGATGGTGCAAGTACCAAGCTTACAAAACTGCTACACTCCTTTTGGCTCAGATTTGGTGCGCCTCCGCAGCTGTCAGCTGTGTCCCATGCAGTCTTTTTCTTCACAATGTCTGCAGAACCTTCAGAGCCCAAGACTAGTATGTTCTAGCGGCTCGAGTGTGCAATGTACGCCAACTTCTGTCGAAGGGAGTGCGCAGATGTGCGCAGTTGAATCCACAAACTCAGAAGGTGCCCCAGCTGTGCATGGAGTTCCATTTGAACTTCGAGGAGTCTTTCCTGCCCGAGGCATTATTGCAGCGTTGCTCAACTGGAGACTGTTGTGTCATGTGCAGATATGGCTGGAGCTGCATTGTGCGTGCGCAGATGTGCAGGCAGACCCTCCAGTGGCACAGCTGCCGACACCGCCCTGTCCTCGTTTGCTTTACTCCATCGCCTTGGAGCACCCAATCTGTGAGGCTTCGTAGTACACAGCGCAGAGCGCTGACAATTGGCTTGACACTCAGAGCATCCTCTGGCGGTGGTGATCGCATGTACGATAGCCGATAGACTAGCCGAGGCATAAACTATTTCTCGCTGACTCCAGGCAGGCATTGGTAGCCAACTGTGACAGGGTTTGACACCCTTCGCTTGTTGCAATCAGCTCTCAGAATGAGGTGATCATGTGCCAACGCTTTGAATTCTGTTGCAGTAGTTGCGGGGGTTTGGGGAGTTCCGGGTGGCTGGGCTGGACCAACTTCTCCATACTGCTTGCCCAGTCATTCTGTCAGATTCTATCAGATGCTTCGATATTGCACATCCGCATGTTTTTTTCTCATAGCTTGTCTCTTTTGCAGTCCCGGTCGAGGTCAAGGACGATTGTCCGGCTGCATCAACGATTCTGAGACGATGATCACCGTGTTGAAGGAGTTCTGCCTGACACCTGTAGGATCTAGTCTAGCATGCACTTCACGTGCTGAATACAGATGGCGAATGGCCAGACCATTCGGTTGAATCATCCCTCCGTTTTCACAAAACCTCAATATCTCTTTTTTGAGTTTTGCATTGACGGGCTGCCCGTGCCGGAATGGAGGGACGCTGTTGAAGGCTGCCCCGCCAGGCTTCGTGGCCTCACAGTACCGGTCAACGCGGTTTTTGTTGAGCAGCGTCTTGCGTTGCTGGCGGCGTGTGTACGTTAATTTCAGGCTTGCGCGAAGACGATGCAGCGCCATGTCCTGCACCAAAGCTGGAATTGGGCGTGTCCCTTTTGGAAAAGCTCCGTCTTGCCTGCAGCCCCTGTAGATCTGTAGATGACATGCTAGTGTCAAGGAGGGCTGTGGGTCCAAAGGTCTGTAGGAATGTGTAGCAAGATGTTGACTGAAGGTTTACAGGACAGTCTTACTCGACAAACCAGCGATTCGCATTTCCGGGGCCTGTGAACGCCTGACCGCCATGGCAGTTTTCGCAACACATCACCCCAACTTGCCAATTTCTGCAACGTTCGCTTGCCGATCGCCATGCTGATCCAACACGCATGTGCGCTCCACAGGCCTGTGAAAGCGATCTCCAATGTCGTGCCGCGTACGGTAGACAAGATTCAATGGAATGTTGGGACGCGTGACCTGGCGGAGGCATTTGAGAGAAGCGGGCATGCTGGCCAGCTTGGAACGAGATCAGGTGGAAATGGAACGATGATAGTCTACACATGCTTGTCCATGGCCCTAGCATGCAGCGTATTTGGGCATGCTTCTTTGCAGACTCTACAGTTGCATTGAGATACAGGATGCGTGTTAGCAACATTAGCATGGCGCGTCTCCTTTGCTTCTATGCGTCTTGCTGGTTCCGCATGACCGGCTCTTGAGGAAGCCAGGATAGGGCCATTGATTGGTCCATGGGCTGAAAACTTGGGGAGCATGTGCCTCTGCCGCACTACTTGCACTGTAACGGCTGCTCCACCGATGCCAGATTACACCAGCAACTTTGGAGTTGGTGATCCATCTGTTGAAGCGGCATTGAAGTGAAGACGACCAGTCTGCTCAACGGTGCATCTCATCAAGGCGGACACTTACATTGCTTGGTACTTCTGACCGCCGTGTGCCCACGTGTTTCTGCGCCCCCCATGACGCAGTGGACACGACTGTACACTCAAAACGCCGTTTTAAATCTCCAAGCAGGGCAAGACGATGTTTGAGGCTGTGTAGGTTGGTGTCGGCTGGGCATGGACAAACAAATTGGGTGGCTCACAATATGGTAGCCTTCATGCTGGCGCATGCGGCTCACGAAAGCCGAACAAAGCGTGAAGAGTGCAACAAGAGGATTTGGCAAGACCTACTTACAAAACAAAAGGCTGTTGAACGTGGGTGGCTAAAAGCCAGTGCAGACGGCAATGCGTCGAAGGAGTGTACCTTCAGCCAGTCCTTCGGTCAAGCAGTCACTCTGCATGGAGCCGGCATGAGCTGGTCATTCAGTCTGGTATGGTCTGCGAGAAGAAGATTGGCATTTTGTTTTTCCTTCGCAAACTGTCAAGCTGTTATCGTGGTATAGCCATGGTCACAGAAAGTAAGCGAAGCCCTCGTTTCAACTCGCTGCCGGTTCAAGCTTGTGTCGGTCAAACTTTTTCATGGACCTTCATCCGGTCGGTGCTTTTTTCCTCCAGCAACTCGATCTCTGTGATGTCATGGCCCTGTTGTGTTTGAGTCAACTGTGATCCCTTGTGTGCTGGTACATGTAGGCTTCTCGAGACGTGCTGGCATGCTGTTTGGTGGATCGGCAAGGAGCGAGCACGACCGTTTGGGAGCAAGTTCCCGAGCGACAATCAGTTGGTGCATGTTGGCACTAAGTTGCGCTCCAGAGTTGCTCGCTTTGTCTTGCTCAGCGCATGCGTTAACATGCGCCACCTTCTCACAAGTTGCATCACAGGTGGCAGTGGGGCTTGTCAGATCCGGCTTGTGTTCTGTGGTTGTGTTGTGGGGAAGATGTCCCGTTCGCGTGGGTGCGCAAACGTCGCGCAGGTCGTCTTGACAAAGGCTGTCGAGCTTTCCACATGTCCAGACCACGTTCTGCAGACCCTCAAGCTAGCACATCAGCGCGGGTTGGCGGCTGCACGCGAGACTGCGGATTCAGGATTTTTTGTTTTTGTAATTTTCATTGTAGTTTTTTCGAAGAATTCGAAGACTGACACATATGTAGGTGTTGATCCCTGAAGAGTGGGCTCATGACGGCAAGCAAGACGTTACGGATTCAGGGTTTGAGGAGTTTGGTGCGTAAACGGCGTGAGAAAATTCAGAGCACGTGCGCAAGGCGTTTGTTCCCGGCTTTGCATGCGCATTGCGTGGTTCATGTCAATTCTTTCAACCGGTTTCCGGCAAGACACAAGCATGCCGTGTGGCTTTGTGCAAAATTCTGCGTGCTCACACGTCTCAGGACACGTTCAAGTTTGAGGACAGCCAGATCTGCCGCTTGCGTGATGATCACACAAACATGATGCCGACAAAGGCCCGTCCCAGGGCCGACTAAGAAATAGAACGTTCCAGCAGCAATTGCAGCAAGTCGAGGCCAACATCCTGGCCGCTATGCGGTGGCTTACCCAGGCTGCTTACGTTGAGGTTTCGCACAAAGTTGAACCTTTGTGGACACTGTTGCAGGGCGTCGGCAGCGGCGACGAATTGTTTTTGCACTACAGTGGCAGCGTCCTCAAGCGGCATTTGTGAGGTATGGGATAGTTCCGCTGCCCAGTGTCGAATCTGGGGTCAGGCCACGGTGGTCGCGCTGATGATCGCAGTGGGGACGAGCTCACCGGCAAGGCCTTCGTTGTCTCAGGCGCTTGTGGCGTCGAGCTTGGTCTCTTCCAGGACGACACCTTGATCCCATGCGATTTCCAAAGCGCAGGCATAGCCGTGACTGCAGATGCCATGGACGCAGTTGAGTTGCATCGTGTGCATGCGACCGTGGAAATGCGCAGGGCAAATTAGCGATGATGAGCTCCACAGCCTGCTGGTGGAACATTTGCCAGCGGTGCAGCACTCAGGTCTGGAGATTTCCACCAAAAGTTGCCAGCCACATGAGCCATGCCATGGGCTCCTTTTGCCCAGGGATGCCGCCTTTGGGTGATCTTTGACTGTTGCCACAGTGGCTCAGCGCTGGACCTTGCTTTCAAGGCACATCCTTTACATGTGCGTAACCAGTCGTGCTTTCATTCTGTATGAAGTAAATCTTGCGCAAGTTTGGACAGGTACGAGCTGCTGCCATTGCCTTAGCCTTTGCGTAAATGGCAAGGGTGGGCCATCTGGTGCAATGCGGCCACCACAGACCATACTGAAGAATGGAAGCAGCAGGTTCAGTTTCTTTCGGTCTCTCTCAGGATTCAAGGAAACTGCGGTGCACCAAAATCAGGCAGGCTACACATAGGTTGGACAGTGCTGTGGAGATCTTGGGTAGGCGAACGTTGCCACAAGTAGTGCCGTCTTTGGCAAAGGAGCCGATATCGTCGTCCCAGTGGTCGGCCAGCCAAGCCGGCAAACGGAGAGGCCTCCTGTCACTTGAAGTCCGCCGTCCTGAAGCTCTTGTCCTTTTTTTGTTGCAGGTCGTGATGATCTCCGGTTGCAAGGATGAGCAGACCAGCGCCGATATCCAGCCCAGCACATGAGCAACCATTCTTGCACATGTGGACGTCATTGTGTTTGTTTGCAGGTCAGGAAGCCTTGCTCCGAAGGTACCGGTTTCGCATGAACTTATTGAATTCATTGAACTCGAGAACTCCGCTTGCCGGGAAAAAACCTTGGAGAGGCAGCCGGTGCCATGACCACGGCCTTCCGACACGTCATCAGCCCAGCCATCTCCTGCGAGGTAGCCAGCAAATGCGCTCTCGCTTTGGGGGTGGATTGGGGCGTGGTATGGCGCGGCTGTGTGTGCTGAGATCGTAGACATTCATAGACTTTGAACTCGCGGCAGGACCTATTGCTGCAGATGCGCCACTTCCTGCAGAGAAACAGCTTTAGCCAGGCTGGTTTGAATTTCAGAAGTCGTTTTGAAAGCAAGGTTGCATTTTGTCGCATGTTTGCCCGTGCAAAGGTGCCTCAAATGTCCTCAGACCGGTACTTGCAGCTGGATAGCGGCTTGCATGCATCCCAAAATTCTCAAATTTCCCAAAGAGCAGCTACTGGAGTCCAGAGTTGATATATGTTCTTTAGGTGCCTTCACCAACTACCAGACCAGAAAAAGGCATGGACAGTGGGTAATCATTTTTTGGCTTGGTGGCCTCTACAGGCTTGTGTCTTGCTCTCTAACAGGCACAGGGAGCCTTCATATGGCTTTGTTCATCGTCAGCTGACTGGCTGGCGTCTCAAGCTTTCAATAAGAAAACTTTCAAGCAGATGATGTCACCATGTCACGCCAGGTGATCCTTCTGAAGTGCCATCCATGGAGGCCGCTCCAATATTGAGTTGCGGCAGACTGCTTCAACATGCTTCCATGGTTTGGGCTGACCATATCTGAACCTGCAAGGGAGGCGTACGCATGGGCTCCCCGCTGCTCTCCCCGACAGGAAGAGAGATGGCCGAGCTCCCACTCATAATCTGTAAAACTCTGTAAAAGGCTTGTCATCTTGGGACCGAGGTGGACTCACGAATCCACCGCTTGGAGGAGCAGATCCAAGAGTTGCGGCAGAGGCCTTTAAAGAGCAAGGATGAGTCTTGACACTGGACAGGGAACTGTCAGAATCCGTTCGATCTCAAGTTTTGATGACGCAAGCCGCGGTCCAAACCGGTCTGCGGTTGCCAAATTGGGCTCCAGCACACTAGCAGAATCGCTAGCTTCTTTTGGTACGGCAACCCAGAAACAATGCAAAGCCTTCTGATGGGCAGCCGTTTGGGTGAGTCTGTGAGTCTATGGGTTCCTGCGCGATTCAGAAACTAGCCGCGATTCAGGAAACCAGGTTCAGGCGATGCAGGAAGCTGAGTACACCCGTGGTTTCCCATTTCAAGCCTGCTTTCAGAATTGTTTTGCCTTTGCTCGAATCCCGGATTTCCGAATCCGCGGGTTCCAGTTTCCTGAAAAAGCTGGGTTCCCGAATCCTGGTTTCCCGAATCCACGCCTTTCGTTTCTGAATCCGCCGCTTTGAGTTTCTTGAATGCCGGCTTCCAAATCCGCGTTTTCCAGTTTCCTGAATCAGCGCTTTCAGTTTCCAGTTTCCGGATCCGCGCGTTTTCAGTTCCGAATCCGCTGCTGACCGAGTCTAAGAAGGCCGAAGTTACCGATTTTTTTTAAACGCTTGCGCCTCGCGCCACTCTCCGATCCTTTGCGCTGCAAATGGCTAAACTACTACAGGTCACCACTCCGCGTTGCGCCGGTCAGCCCTCCGTTCCTGGGCAGCCTGGACGACTCTATAGAAGCACTTCTTGTGGCCACACTAGCTATACCAGCTGATCTATGCCAGGCTAGGCGCTGGATGCGGTATGATGATGCTTCAGCCTTGGATTCTGCTTATGTTACCGTCTTACGATGTCTTACGACGTTGGGGCAGAAGCTGATGTCATCATGCAGTTTTAGAGGCCACAGTCGCCCCTTCAAAGTCAAGGCAACGCTGCTTGAAGCTTCTGCTGTGTTGTTCGATCCTTCTAAGTCTAAAGGAAAGATTCGAGCAGGTTCAGTAGAAGTGGCAGATGTGCTGACGCAGGGTCACATGAAGTACAAACCTTTTTCGAGGGCTGAGCTACACTTGTTGTCATGGCATTCAAACAGATTTCTGTTGCGGATTGTGGCAAGCAAACAGCTGAGTGGTACTAAAAAGTGAATGACTCAAGTCCACAAAGTGTTGCAAAGTGTTGCAGAGTTGGTGAACAGGTACAGCATGAGGTTTGCAAGACTTTTGCAAGCTTGTCTGGCTTCTCAGTGTGGCAGGCGCGCTGGCATGGACAAGTCAGAGTTGGTAGTGGCACACGGGCGTCGCTGTGCCCTGTGAATGCGTAACAGCTGGAACGGGCACGCAACAGATTGGGCTGTGTGGATGCATGTGGATGCCCTCGTCTACGCCGTCTAAATGCCGTTTGCAGCTTGACGGTTCTTTGATTGCAAGATTTGCGAAGTTTGCCATTTCTTTTCAGTAGCCGCTGCATGCCATCTTGGATGCCGAAGGCATCTTGCCAGAAAAAGTTGCGCGTGTCTCGCTACCGATGGCACACGGACTTCTTTATTCATGCATGATGGAAACTGTCTCGGCACAGTGTCACCGCTTGCGCAGGCAATAGTTTCGGAACGCCCTTCAACCTGCAAGCCCAACGGTTTTGGGGATTTAGGGTTTAGGGCATAAGCCCAAGAACCTGCAACTTAAACCCATGAACCCATCAGCCCCAAGCCTTAAGCCCTCCGAACGTAAAGGCCGCAAACCCTACTGTATGCCCTAAATCTCCAACCCTAAACCCCAATGCTGTTTTTGTTTTTGTCACCCCACCTTTGGTGTGGGGTTGTTAGATTTTAAACTAAACTCTTCTCCTCGCCCGGTCTACTCCTAGAGACTCCCTGGAGTGCCCAACCCCAGAGACTCCCTGGAGTGCCTCCTTGGAGTGCCCAACCCAGAGTCTCCCTGTAGTGCCCAACCCCAGAGACTTCCTGGAGTGCCCAACCCAGAGACTCCTGGAGTGCCCCACCCAGAGTCTCCCTGGAGTGCCCAACCCCAGAGTCTCCCTGGAGTGCCCAAACCCTGAGACTTCCTGGAGTGCCCAACCCCAGAGACACTCCCTGAAATGCCCAAACCCCCAAACCCCTAAGGTGGGGATGTTCGAAGGAAAAAATACAACATGTGTATTTATATATATATATATATATATTGTTATTTATTTTTTTTGGGGGGGGTGTTTACTCAAAAAGCCCCTAAACCCGAACCCTCATAGGGTTTACTTAGGGTTTTGGGCCCTGGTTGAAGTTCCCTGCAGTGGCCACTCCGAAGAGCGGAAGGGCAAGCTCAGCGGGGGCTTCCGTACAAAATGCGGCGTTTAGGAAGTCGTGTGCCTTCCGGGCTCTACCCTCTCTCTCTCTCTCTCCCTCCCTCCCCGTCACAGAATGAGAAACACTACGCCACAAGCTTGGAAGCAAAGTCGGAGGACAAGCATCCGCTACATGATTTGAGGTCGCACTGTGCTTTTGGAGTAGGAGATGCTTCATGCAGTTAATGTCCATAGACGAACGAAAGTAAACCGGCACGTGCATTTGAGACGGACAGTTGTTTCAGGTGCATCTCCACTAGCTGAGGTCCACAGCCCTGAAATTTCCCTCCTCATACCGAAGCCTGAAGCCGGACAGCCTAAGCCAAAAATACCTCTGAATCTCAACTGTTCCAGTAGCACCCTTGTTCCCTGTTAGGGGGCTCTGATCCAGTAAACCAATAAGAGTGCCCTTTTTTCTCCTATGTTGCTGGGGAACCAAGCATAATGTAACCCGGTGGCAGCGCACCTCATGAATAGGCAGGCCCTGAGTGGTCATCCTAGTGCTGCGAAGTGACTGCACGTGGTCTGAGGCTCAGTGCTCTACACACTGCAAAGTGCAACAAAGCAACCAAAGTCTCTAGAATCTATACTCTGTACATCTAGAAATGCTTGATACACATACTGTACTGAATAGGAGCGTCGCTTCGTCGAAATCCCCTACCCCAAAGTGGCAACAGCAACTGTGAACATCGCAGCTTGGAGTATTTTCAACAGTGTGTGTGGGTTTCAGCCCTGAGTGATTTGAGGGTTTAGAGCCAGAGCAGCCGGCGGTATCAACCACTGCAGTATCAAATCAAATGCCACACGGTGAGCTGTCTACGTCATGGTCACATTCTTCAACATGGCTGGAGGACTTTGATGTCTTTGCGGGAGTCTGAGGCCGCATTCGGGGTTTGTGGCAGTTTCGGGTTTAGGGTTTTAGGATTTCGGGCGCTTGTACATGAGGGCTGCATGTGATCGTGTCACACGGTGAACTCCAATACCTGTCAATACTTCCTAAAAAGCCCTCAAACCCTAACTGCCTCTTTTGGTGGGTTGGTTGATGAGGGTTTTATGAAGAGCTTAGGGTTCAAGTAAGGGCTCAAAGGCTAAGTAAGGGTTAAGGGGTAGCCTTGGAACCAAGCACCGCAGCCCCTAAGTTTGAAGCTCCCGAACAACCCCCATTACCAAAAAACCCGGCAGCTTCGACACGCACTCACCGGGTGTGGCCTCCGAACATCCTACAGCCTCAATGCCTCAACTGTTTAGTTTTAACTTCAAAGGTGACGGGCGCCATTTAGAACTTTGCTTTTCCAATCCCTACACTTCCAAGCCGAAACACCTCCCCCGCCCACCCCTGAACAATTTAAGGCTTAGGGTTTAGGGACCCCCCCCCCTCAACCCTGCAAAACTTCCCAAACCCTCATATCGTGAAACAACATCCTTTGAAAGAGCGCGGGTGGGCAGGAGAAGCTCATCGAGAGGAGGGCTCCTCTTGGCTTTTGGCCCGCAACCATCAGGCTTTGGAAAGAAGCCGAGCTGTCCAGAGTTTATTTAGATTTAGAGGTCAGGTGCGGGTTCAGGCATTCGCTAGATTCAGGGGTTACCCTGCATCAAACACTAAACCTGAAACCGCAGGGCAAGGGTCCGCTTGTTTGGTGATACAGCATTTTGTGCTGAGGTACTTCAAACTTTGGCAGTTGAAGTCTTCAAAGCCCTCATGTGACGATTCCACGCAGCTCCCACAGACGAAGCGGTTGGTTTAGGGTTTTAGGTCGTAATGCTGATGCCGTCTGGAAAGGAATCCATCATCCGCACGCGTGACCCAGCCTTGGGCCATAGTTCCCTTGGTTCGTTTAGGTCCATGGCCAAGCCCGGAAGGCCTCATACGATTCCGAAAGTGGTGGCTGGAAGAAATATATGTCTCGCTCTCTAGTGAACTATCTTCCTGGCCTTTGTTTTGACCAGCGGTTTTCCGGAGTCTCTTGTGGAAGCTTCAGGCTCCTTATTCCAACCATCTGAAGGTTGCTTTGAAAGCCTGCGCTACAGCACAGACCAGAAACGGACCCCCCCTCCCTAATTACTTGCGATCCACATCCTCAAGCCTTGTGGCGCAGCACGGAATTCCATCAGCCAGCTGTTCTTTTTAGCACCAGAGCTTCGACTCTTGACATTCGAGGCTGCGGTGGCTTGCACTGGCTTGCAGGAGTTGGATGGGCTTGGAGTTGAAGGTTTTGAGCTCCGGAAGATGATATATGTAAGGAACGTGCCATACGGAGCTGCCAGGGAGCTACATGTCTTTCAAGATCCCATGGTGCCCTTGAAGCTTGCAGAGTGCAATTCACCCTGCAGGCATGTTGGTCATCGGAACGTGTGGCCGAGGAACAGGTGTGGCCGCCCCCCGAGCTGCCCCCTGGTATTTTGAGCTGATTCCCCAACCTTTCTACCCTTGGGGGCTCAACAAGACTATTCAACTCACCATAGCCCACAGCAACAGGGCGCTTGACCCCCGCTACGGGGAAGTTACTTAGCCTGAGGAGCGGTTTGGATTCCGAGCTCTTTGAAGTTCTCTGGGGCAGTGCAACGCCAACGGTTCTTGTGTTCAAAATCCAGGTCCGAACTCTCCAAGCCGTTCGCATACCTTTTTTCCGCCTGGATATGTTTCATGAGGATCAAGTCAAAACCGTGTACTATCCGGCTTTTGCTGGTGTTCGGCCAGTTCAACCAGGTCTATGC